CTACAGCCTCAGCAGCACCATAAAGCTGTAAGAGCTACAGTGTCAGGCAGGAAGCGGCTAGAAATGCTGTATGGAATGTTGCTGGATTTGCAGTACTCCGAAGGTTGTGAACTTGTAATTTTGAGGCCATTCTCAATTCTCTACCCTTTGTGATAGCATAAGGACCAGAAGGATGACGTGAAGAAAATGCAGAGGAGCCTTTCTGACAGTGAGTTGCTAGTGTAGCGCTGCAAGCACTTGAATATGTACATACCTTCATCCGTATTCTGTGAGGGCTGTGAGCATGTGTTTCAGATTATTTGCTGCTGTATGGATACTGATGCAGACTGCTGTGTTTACAGTTCAAAGAGCAGGAGGAAACAAGATCTGTAAGACCATGTACAATCTCAAATGATGTAGCATACTGTTGTACGTACTATTTACTTGAGGGGCTGTTGGGAAGTTTTTCTTAAAAATCTTCTGACCTCTGTCCTTTTCTTATAGCTCTCTGAACTCCTGTACTGTACGTTTCATTCAGGTTGTACACTGGAATGACACAGGACGTGTGAATTATATCTATTACTTCTTAATTCCAAATGGTATTGAACCCTTTGGCCTTTATTTGATGTATCATTTGCCTGCTGAAAAAAGGAACAGTTGCAATGAAGTAATCTGGGACAATGTGGATGTTCACAGTTAAGGAGTTGAAGTGCCTTTTGGAATTGGAGCCTCCGTGCTCACAACATGGCAAGATCAAGGTCTTAGGAAGCATTGTTAGTATCTTTGGAAAGCTTTTCCAGTTTTTCTATGTTGTATGCATCTTCCTTTCACAAAAGTTGTGGAAATAGCTCCTGCCTTTTGTGGCCTCCTAATGTATAGAGTCTGGTATGAAATATCTCATTTTCTGATGCCTCAGCTACTTCCATGCTTGATGTACTCTGTCCAGTTGACTCATCACTGTGTATGTTTTCTTAACTTCTAATTAAAATCTGTTCTATTCTAATATTAGACCAACACTCCTTGTTATATCACCCTTCATTCTCAAGTAATTCATCCTGCAACCTCCTTACTCTGTATGACTAACGTCTTTTTCTCAAATATTCTTAGAACATTTTAAAATACCATCTATATTATAAGCAGCACAGTAGCAGTACCTCTCATTACAGTTGCTTAATGCTTTCTGTCATAACTCAGTGCTTTCTTTTGCATAGAATTTTGAGGAGACTTTAGTCTTTTTGGTGGCATTTTCCATGCATTGGTGTTTGCCTCAGCCTGAAATTTCCACTTGAGACTGTTTTTTTGGTTTTTTTTTAATCTGTTTTGGTTTTGTTTGCTGAAAATATCAGTACTTCATAGAGAAGACACTTCTAAATCAGCTTCTGTTAGGTTGTCTCACAGAAAAGACAGATCAGGTTTTTTTAAAAGGATCCCTATGCAGATGTGTTCAGCTGAAAAATAGGAATAATTGACCATTAGCAGGAGACTGAGCATGGGAGGGGGAATGTTCATCAAGCAGGAGCAAGCCTGAGGAATGAATTTCTGCTGATTAGAAGTGAGACCTGAATTGATGAGCATTGAAAAGGAAGTGGTTGCTTACCTAATATTTGGTCATTCAAGAAGTTCTTCCTAAAAGCAAAAATTAATTTATCTGGCTTTAATTTTTTTTTAATGGATGTTCTTTGTGTTTGCCTACCAATAACCACCTGAACCTTGTTTCCCTTATAGTGGCAAAAAGGAAAAAGTTAATGACAAAAAATTCTGTTTGTAAACAGAAACAGTTTTAGTTCTAAATGTTCTGTTTGGTTTTGCCTGTGTAAGTAATACTGTGTTTGCTTCTCTAGTGAAAGAAATAGAATTTGTGGATGGAAGGTGTTTTGTTGTAGCTAAGCATTATTGCTGTCTGGTTTTAATCCTTCACATATGCTTGCATTCTTCAGTTCTACTGAATTTACTGAAATGATGAGCATACTTCAAAGCCTTTGTAAGGCTGAGTAAAACCACTGGGATCATATTGTTTCCAGTTCTATTACTTCCATTTCAACTTGGTGTTACTGTTAAAATTTCAGTGTAGGGTCTCAAAAATTGATCCAATAACAGAATTGCAGAATGAACCATAAGGAGACCAATACCCACAGTGTAGAAGAAAAAAAAGACCAAACTTGTATAGACCCTAGCACATGCAAGAGATACTAGATAGCAGAGAGGGGGACTTTTTCCAGTCATTGATAAAGACACAATAAGCAGCTGATGGCAACTATAGACAAATTAATCCTGTTGCAGGTGATGGACTTGCTAGCCCTTAGTTCATAAGAGGAAATTACGTATGCAGTTTAGTTTGACTTCAGAGTAGGTGGTGGTGGTGTTTTGCTCTCATCTTGTAATCGGGGAAGCCGTAGACCACTGCGCTTTTCTCGACCTTTCACAGGCCCTTGGCAGAGGGGAACAGAATTGCTTGCTTTGCACAGAACTTGCTCTAGCAGCTTGTCATCAAGATGGTGATTGTGTCAGCTGCTCCCTGTTTTCTGCTGGTTACTGGCAGGGTGGGAAGATTATTTTCTTAGTGCGTAACTGGTCAGATGTGTGTTAGGACTTTAGATTGCCTTCATTTGAATCCAGACACCAGCAGCAGACAAGATTTGAGACAAGGTGGAGCAGTACCCTGATGTGATGATGCAAAGGATCATTTTTGTTATGAGTGGCTGGTGTTTCTTGTTCGTGTCTGGGTCCAGACAGAGCACCAGGTTTGATTGGGGAAAGAATTTTTTCCCCAAAAGTCAGGCTTGAGAGGAACCTCTACTGCCCCTGAGTACAGGATAGTGCTGTAGGCTGTGTATGAGGATCTGGGTCTGTATTATCAAATACACTGCTTGCCTTTCCAGAGGCCTTGTGGGTTGCTGATGGTTTTGCCTGTGGCACTTGATGCTTCTGGCTTCCGAGAGCTGAGATGCTTTAGTTGAAGTATGGTCCTTGGGATCAATGCAGCCATGTCTGGGTAGGGCTTGAGAGCCTGTGGTTTATTAATGATCTAACTAGATGTTACAGAAATTCTTTCTGGCTTTAAATTTCATAAAAACTCAGCTTCAGTTCTTTTAGTTGATACAAAATAGAGCAGCCTGCTTGTCCTTTTCCAGTCCACTAATAGGGTTCTGGATAGGTGCAGTAACCTGGTCTGATGTAAAAGCCAGAAGCTTAGTGTACATTTAAATTTGTTAGGTAACATACTGATGTAGGAGTCTTCTTGCAACATTTTTGCAGCTGCAGATGTTTTTAGCTGAGATCTATACAAATTGCAAAGTAAATATACTAGATCCAGAGCAAGCATGTTTTTTAAACTGCAAATGTGTTTTTCCTAATCTCTGTAAGGTATACTGGTAGTTCTCTTAATGAAACTTGTTTTAATGCTTTAACCTAACAAAATGAAGCTATTATGTTGAAAGACCTCACTTGTATCAAAAGTAGTATATGACTGGTTTCAACTTTTCCCTGAACTGCTAGGAAGCTCCAAAGGAAGAAAACCTTTGTGCCCTTGAGAGAAAAGGACAAGTAATTTTATGACTTAATTACTTCAGGGGAAGCATTATCAGTGAACTGAGAGAATACATCTGAAAAACTTGGAATGATCGGAGTAAAAGCTACCACTGCTAGCAGATTTCCAAGGAAAATGCATATACTTCTTGTGTATTTAAATATATGAAGTTAGAGGCTTCCACTTCATTTATGAGATACATTATCAGCTTAAACTCCACAAACCAGCAGTGCCCACCTGTGTCCCCTTCAAGACAGTTTAACAACACCCAAAGGAAAAGGGGGTGTTCGGGTTTCCGAAGGTTTGTGTTATGGCATGTGTTAAGAAAAACCTCAGTTGTCATCTTTGGACAGTGTGACTGGTACCCCCTGCTCCTGACCCCTCTGTGGGATATGTCTGTACTGACTGACAAGGGGAGAAGTGTGTGTGTTTAAGCTGACTTGCTTGACTTGATGGTATTTTCCTCAAATCCACATAATTTGGCTTACGACATGATGACCTGAGTTCAGTTCTGGAGAGGAGTTTGAGGCTTGGCTGAAGTATGTACGTAACTCAAGGTCGTTACAGGCTTCCTTCTGGGCTGGAATGTGGGTTGCTGCTTCTAGTTAAATCCGAGTTCAGAACATACTGTTTATGCTTTGTGTATATAACTTTTTTAATTGGAAGCCCTGAAGGGACAGCCTTTCATGACTTATCTGTGGAGATCTAGTTACTTCATTAACAAAATAAAACTGTCAGTATGATTTTTTTTTTTTTTAATAATATTAGGAACTGAAGGTAAAAAGCATTGCTTTATGAATGTTATCCATACTGGATAATGGACTCTTGGGTGTCAGTCCTGCAGCAGTATAATATATGGAGAGAAGGGTGATCTATATACTGCTGATTTAATTTAAAATTATCTTTCCTTGGCCAATGTGTGATTCCTGTGAAAACAAACTGGTGTATTTCCAATGCTTAATGACAGCTGTGGTGGTGTTCCTGACTAACCAGTTGTGCTAACAGAAGTTGTGACAGAAGGTAACCCTTATCAGGAAAACATGAACTGTATGTTAAATACAGGACATGTAACGGATGTCTTTATGGCAAAGACTGGGTATAGAGAAGAATCTTTTATGTTTCAGAATAAGCTGTTTTGTGTGTGCTTCTGTTAAGCTAGAAATATGTCCTTTGTTTAACCAAAGTGTATATATTGTACGCAGAATGTCCAGGTTATGCAGCTTTACAGACATGGATTCATTTATAGCCCAGGCCACCCTACAGATGTTGTTCTGCTAGAAAACAAGTTAGTGGAGTTTGAGTAACTGCATAGAATTACATGATAATATGTCTTTAGTTTTAATATTTTTAATTCTGCTCCCTGAAGTAAGTTTTTACTAGGTTTTTGAAGCTTTAGATGAGATGCATTAAGAAGTGGTGTTCTAGTTTTGAATTGGTATCCAGATGTTCCAGGAACCTAGTGAATACGTAATCTTGAAATGTGTTTTGTGTTTAGAAACTGGCAAGGTATTCACCTGGGGCAGAGCTGACTATGGGCAACTTGGAAGGCACGCAGTGGTTCCTGATGGGCAGGAGGTGTGCACAGCATCTGAACAACGCTTGGAGCTGTTGTGTAACATCCCTATTTCAGTGCCTTGCCTAAATGGAGCATCTCAGGTAAAGAAGAAAATTACCATTTTTTTTCCCCCAGGGTTTTTTTTTTTTTTTTTTGGAGGTGGGGTGCGGTGGGTGGGGTGTGTTAAAATATTCAGAACAATTTCCTAATAGAACCCTTTCAAATGCTACAGCACAAGCCCTCGCTGCTCTTCCTGTAAGCTCAGAAGTTAATACGATTCAATTATTTCAAATTTCTTAAAAGGCTTTTGCATTCAGAAACTGATTTTTCCGTGGTGGAACCAGAGGTACCATTAGCAGAAGATGCCAAGCTCTCTCAGATATCAATGTATGCAGGACATAGTTGCACCTGCAACAGTTGCACAGCCTAACAGATGAGGTGGGACCCTGCCCAGTAGCAGAGCTACTTTCGTCTGAAGCCCTCTAACAGTTTATCCGATGGCCTTTCTCTAGCCAATAAATAATAATGCCACAGCTTCTAGCTCAGGCTATCTAAGCATATAATGAATATTTCTGTACCTTATAACATCCTTGAGTAGTACTGGAGGTTTCCTTTTCATATGGCTAATTTGATACAAAATGATTTATCCTCAAGTATAAAGATGATCAGAAAGAAAACTTTACTCAAGTTGTTTGCTGTAGTGTGACAGAATGTGCAACCTGTACTGCCTAGAAACCATTTTCTTGGCTTTTTAGTGGCTGAGAGGCAGCATATGGCAATTGGCCTGTTGACAGGCAATGTGCAGGTCCCACCTGAGCAGATAACCAGTGAAAAGGTATGCGTGTCCCTGTGGGGTAGCTGGCAGTCAAAATGCAAGGGGTAAGTGCAGATTGTCAGCTTCAGCTGCAATGTACGTACTGCATCTCTGCCTCCTGGTAGTCTTCCATGGTGAGACTTTTGTTAGAAGAGTCAGCCTCTACCCTTTCCCATCATCAGTGTTCTCTGGATGTGTGCACTCACGGATGTGAAGTGGAGCTTCAGAGCCCAGGATGCTGCCCTAATGAGTAATTTGTTTAGTCAGTGTTGACTCCACTGAGTCTCAAACAACTTTCTTACTCATTTTGAGATGGGTGTCCCTGCTTTTGTCATTAGATATCTATAGAGAACACCACTGTTGAATCTGTTTCACGCTGTTTTTCATCTGTGCTTTGGGTAATGCCTCAAGTATATAGTTCTGTCATTCCTCGTAACAATACAAAGCCACGGCAGCCATAGCTGTTGCACAGAGGAAGTTATGCTTGGCAGGATAAGTGATCCATGAAGGTGAAGAAAAGGGATACATTCAGATATATTGCTTGAAAAGGAAGAGAAAAACAATCTCATCTTCATTCTGCTGCCCTCATCGCTGTTCCTCCTTATAGACCTATGAGAGACCAGATTTGAGTGATTAGCAATGGCAGTGTTCTGGAGCAGGCATCATTCTTTGCAGAGCTAGCAGCATGAAGATGATTTAAGAGAGTGATCAAGAGCTAGCACCATTTGTACCCTAAGAGGAACTGTGTTGAATAGAAAAGGAAAAAGCAGATAGTAAGAGCCTAACTTTCTTCACTTCAAGTTTCAAAATAATGCCAGAGCTAGACTTTATACTTAAAAAATACATTAAATTGCAGTGTTGTTGTGGTTTAGGCCCAGCCGACTGCTTGCTCACTCCTCCCCCCACCCTTGGTGGGATAGGGAAGAGAATTGGAAGAAAAATGTAAAAACTCAGGGCTTGAGATAAGGACAGTTTAATAGGACAACACAAGGAGAGAAGAAATAATAATAACAATAATACTAACAGAACAGTATACGAAGTGAGTGATGCCTGATGCAATGGCTCACCACCTGGAACCTGATGCCCAGCCTGTTCCCTCGCTGCAATCCCTCCTCCCCCTGGCCAGCTCCCTCAGTCATATGGTATGGAATATCCCCTTGGCTGGTTCTCATCAGCTATCCTGGCTGTGCCTCCTCCCAGCTTCTTGTGAAAATTAACTCTATCCCAGCTGAACCCAGGACAAGTACGTAGGCTATGTAGAGTGTGAGCTGGTTTTTGTTTACACAAAAGCTATTCATTTTTCCATTTGTTGTCATATGGAGACGAGGTTTGATTTGAGAGCTGAGTTCTTTTCCATGTTTACCTTGAATTAACAATTCCAATTTGCATGTTTAATGCAGAGAGCCAGTTTAACAGTTGAGTATTACAACTAATGATTTTTATCCACGGTCTATTTTTACAGATCACTTTTAATGATTCAACTGAATTTTTGGCAAAGTTGTGTCTGCTGATTGTCTCTGCACTTCAGTTAATATTGTTAAAACTAAAATGGAGAAACTAATCTAAGGATTAGAGGACAATATAAAAGGCACACTGGTTTAGCTCAAGTACAGCACAGTAGATTTAACCTCCTCTGCTGTTCCTTGTCTCTGTGCCCCTGGCTTACCTGCTTTCTCCACCACAGGCCAGGGATTCTCCTTTCTTTGTGCTGAAATTGATACAATGTCTGTGTCTGTCTACCACTCCAAAACCTGATTTTTTGAAGTGTTGTGAGTGATCTATTCCACTGTGAGTTTGACTTCGTCTGACAAACTCATTTAGAAATATTGACCCTGTGAAACATGAGCACTTTTTTTTTTCTTTCAACTGAAACAATGGAAGAACAAAAGCCTGAGTTTTAGATAGTTATCTACTAATCTGAGTATGTTTTCCTGGCAGATTTAAAAGAGTGTGTGGACATCAGGTTCCTGGAGTCTCATGTGTTTAAACTTTTTGAATAACATGACTGCAGGTCTATTTATTATTTTCTTCTCAGTACTTTGGTGCATGACCACCATGGAATAGGATGAGGCACTGAAAAGAAACAAGGCTGTAGACGAAGTTAGTTGTGTGAGGCATTATGCATGCCGTGCTCTTGTGTTGTGTGGTGTCCTTGATTGGACCTCTTCAGAACATCTGACTCATCTGCTGCCTGATGTGCATTCATATCCACCGCTCTTCAGATGAAAGGACAATTAAATACAAATGGCCTGAAATATGATGAGCCTCTGTTTTTAGCAAATGCTACAAAGACCTGGTTTAATGTTTCTTCCTTGTCAAAGTGCTTTTCCAGTCTGTTTGATATTTTTGCTTTTAATAGCTATCGTTTTACTGTTTGTGGTATGTTCAGCATGTCATTCACATTACAGCAAACATTTGCTGCAGCAATAAACAAGTGAGAAGTCATTGTGCAGTGCTGAATGTTTCTTGCTAAACTGGGTGGAAGGGCTACAGTCATTTTGGTTATGCAGCATTGTTCACGTGGAGCCATGTTTTCATCATATCCTTTCTCTACTTAAAGCAAGCTGTGCTAGATTACAGTTTTCTGAGGAGGGATCTCTGAAATTTCAGTTAAGAAATTAAAAAAATTTGTGTCATACTGTCACTTTTGGGTTTTCTTGGGCTTAATTCCTTCCTCAGTTTTACATCACCCAACTTAGATCTTGATGGTGGATGTAGGGGCCAATTGTGTCAGGGGATGAAAATAGGTGATGGACTTGTGGCAACTTGTACCTGCTGTGTCTATCCTGATCCTACTGTGGTCCATAATTCCAGTGTCTACATTCGTCCCAGCGTGTACATTCGTCTTGTGCAATGCAGATTGGTTTGGATCCTCCATATGGTTCCTTTTTTCAGGGAATGCCATTATGAATACTCAGCGCCCTTTGCAGTCAAAGTTTATTGCCACTCTTTTCAGTGGCAGTTGCTGTAATGTCATTTTTGTTTAAGTATTTGAAAGGTAGCTTTGCTTTTAGTATATTCTTGTTTCCCTTTTTCCCCATTCATATTGCAAAATATTAAGCATCTACCTACAAGACAAATCTAAGATACCTGCTATGATGATAATTAATTGGTTGAGTCTCATATGACTGATAGGTTAATGTATAAGCATTGTTATTGCCTTAACATATAAACACAATAGTATTAAAAATGGAACCTTTTGGTTTACAAAAAATGACAACTGTTTTTGTATTTTTTGACTTCTCAGGAAAAATTGTTAGAGGCCTCTTCATAAGTAAAGCTGTAGTTGAGACTTTAAAGGGTATTAAAAGAAATAACCTGGTAGTATTATACGTACATCATCTCTGTGCTGTGTGTGTGTGTGGCTTTTGTATACTTAGTATGCTTAGTTGTTTGACTGGGTACTGTACGTATTTGTGGCTATGTTCTTTATTCTGAATGGTCAAAACAAGAGGTTTACATTTTTGTGGGAGAGAAACAACAAACTGAACTTTCCTAAACCAGATTTTACTGCTCAGAGTTTGAGAATATATGTGTAGTAACTGATCCAAGAAGCTGCTTAAAAAAAAACCTGCTTTGGGTGTTAGGGAAGGAGGTAAATGCAAAAAAGTCTCTCTACTTTTCCAAGCTTAATAACTTTTAGATAATCCAAGAATGTAGTTCAATAGAACTGGTGGTGGGAAAAACAAACTTTCAGTAAACTCTGTTCCTTGTTCTTTGATTTGCCAGCTTGCCTCAAAACTCCTAACTGTGCTACAGAAACAGATGTGGGCCCTTGAAGAACTCATTGTAAAAGGTGGTTCTTACTTTGCAGTACTTATAGCTAATAATGAAAACAAACAAGGGATGGGAGTGGAAACAGAGAAATTATGTGACTTCAGGTGCAACAGCAAGTCAGCTGCAAAGCTGAGAAGAGAACCCAGGTGCTACATATTCCACTCCAGCCCTTTACTCATTAAGCTTTCTCTCTCGTGATATCACTAGAAGGGAAAGGTAGTTGATATCTGCATGTTCCAGACAGGTCAGATGACTATTTGTGTTATATTTCAGTTAGTGTGTGTTGCTTTCCCTGGATGTTTGTTTAATGCTGTTAGATCTGTCCATCTAGTGATCCTTCATGAGGAGAGACCCCCATAGAAGGAGAGGTAAAGGCCAGCTCATCTTTTACTGAGGGGTTTGTGAGGTCCTTCTGGACCAATTAATTAAATTATCCTCATTCTTAAGTTGAAGTGATGTGGACTGTCTCACTTGGTAAGCAAGTAGTGCAGTGGGGGTTTTTTTGTGTGT